GCACTCCGTTTTGCGCCTCCTTCAGTTTCTCTCAAACTCGATCATCCCGTCCATTGATTCAATTACAGTCTCAGGTTTGCTTCCTCGATCTTTCCTCTTATATCAAATAACAGTGCTTTCGCTTTCATTTTTGAACATACATAAATGTTACCCAACCTCTGTCTCTGTCGATCTCAAAGTACCTGAGATTGAAAAAACCTTAATTGTTCTTGCTCTATTGTATAAATTTTTAGCCTTTAAGTAGTCAGAATTTGCTCGGAATTAGTCAGGAATCTAATCATCGATCGTAGTGACTTAGAAACCCTAATTTCTGGGTACATGTGAATCGACCCTGAATAAGAACGATTGATGCTTCATTTCGTTGTGTTCTTGATTTTCCTCTGATTTTGTTGCTTTATTTTGACGATTGAACAATCAGTCTTCCTCTTTTTGGTTCATTTCTTACAGGTTGATATAAGTATCATTGCCCGAGGCCTCTTTTGGTAAATTTGATGGGAACACCAGAGACATCTCGAGAGCCTTGCCCTGACCGTATCCTCGATGATATCGGTGGTGCGTTTGGTATGGGAGCAGTAGGAGGAGGTGCTTTCCATTTCATTAAAGGAACATACAACTCTCCAAAAGGGAGTCGTTTTATCGGAGGAACACAAGCGGTGAGCATGAATGCTCCTCGGGTGGGAGGCAGTTTTGCGGTATGGGGAGGTTTATTCTCGACGTTTGATTGCACCATGGTGTACATGAGGCAGAAGGAGGATCCATGGAACTCCATCATTGCAGGTGCTGCAACTGGAGGGTTTCTGTCGATGCGACAGGGGCTTGGCGCAGCTTCAAGATCAGCAGCTTTTGGAGGGATTTTGCTTGCTTTGATCGAAGGAGCCGGAATAATGTTGAACAAGATTCTGGCTCAGCCTCAAAATATGCAGATGGAGGAGCCAATGCCCGGAATGCCTGGGATGCCTGGAATGTACGGGGTTCCTGGAATGCAGCAGATGGGACAGATGCCGGGACATATGCCGGGACAGATGCCGGGACAGATGCCGAATCAAGCACAGATGATGCCGGAGAGTGTAAACCAGAATACTCCTGCATCATCAGCAGCATCATGGTTGGGAGGGCTTTTTGGTAAGAAGAACGATGAGGTGCAAACGAACAGCGGAAGTAAAACAGAGGTCTTGGAGAGTTTCGATGCGCCTCCGGTCCCATCATTTGATTACAAGTAAGCTTGCGGATCTCTCTGTTGTCCAATCCATGCCTACTGCCGCTAATGTGTGTTGGTTTTGTCGTCGTCAGTCTATCCTCATTCTCTGCAGAATTCTTCTTGTTCATGGAAGAATCCGCAGTTTCTGTCTCTCTCTCTCCTTTCACTTAAGGTTATGTTACAATGAGCTATGTGGTCAATCTTTGAATATTCTGATTGTGAAATCGTTCCATTGTTATTTTTGGCTCTTAAATAATGTAGTTTTAGTTTTTCATAAATACTCCCTAGTGGTAATGTTTGAGCAATGAAAATGAAGTCCTTGAGCTTCAATGGAGGAGTCCGCTAGTAAAATATTTAAACGTCACGTATGTAGACAAATATCAAGTTCTTGATGCTAAGGAAAAGATCAATCTAGTCGACCATATCTTAAAAGCGTAGTGGTTTGCAAAATCTTTAAATCGAAAAGATGATGAACAACTCTAACAACAATCACTGATCGTTAGCAATACTGGTTCACTTGTACCAACATCTTGTTTTTGATACCTAAGAAATCAGATTCAACCAAACATAATGAGTGAGGAGACACGAAGTGGAAAACTATTATGTGTCACTCAATGAAGATTTTAATGGACAATTCGATTAAATTCACCAATCGAAATATTCTAATTATTTCTATATGTTATGTTGGAAATCTCTACATATATACATTAGTTTTTTTTAACATGAACTCACAAAGTACATATGTTAATAATTTAAACCCAACTAGAATATAATATTTTAATATTTAAAACGTTATATAACATAATGTTTTAATGATGAATCATTTAATAATCTTAATTACTTTATAAAAATTGTATTATGTTAATTTGGATATTATATATGATTGATCATACAATTATATTATTTTATATCGTTTGATTGTATCTATATTATTCTAATTAAAGTTGCGCTTTTGTTATAAACGTACAACTTTACAAATTAAACATTAAAGGTTGAATTCCGAAAATCATCATTTTCACTTTTTATTATTTTTTTGAAATTTATCTAAGAAGATTTACATACTAATGCGATATTTTTTTGAGTTTGGTGAGCTCAAATAAGTTTGAAAACTCATAATCTAAAACGTATTCGATTTACATTAAAAACATTTACATTCAATCTAAGTGTCATGCAGATAAAAATTTCTTAGATAAAATTTTTATCTATATGAGAAATAACCATTTAATCTTTTTATATATATATTTTTTTCGTATATTATAAAAATGATTTTTTTCAAATATTATAATTCCGCGTTTGACGCGGAACAAAAATCTAGTTAGTCTATTATTCTTTGAGAAATTTCCTAATACCATTCACCCAAGTACCATCATTTTTCAAATATTCTTCAAATACCACCATTTTCAAATGTTTTATATGGGGACTCCTCGCCATAGTAGGTACCGGAGGTACAAAGTGTTCTCGAGTCACAGCTCTACTGATTTCTCCTGGGAGAGTCAATTTGTTCGGAAAAAATTGTTGATAGATGATATGCGACGTCACGCTTGGTTTCAATTTCTTGTGTCGGTCACAGACCAGCGAGATCATTGTCTCTGCGCGCGTTTTATGTGGCCACGGATCTGGCAAGTGCTCACCTCATGATCCGTTGAGTCACTCCATACCATACCCGCTTCTGGGTGTGGAATTTATGCGGGAGATGCATGCCGCATCAACTCGGTTGCGTCTCTACACCAATGCTACAGGCAACACGTAGATAGAATTCTGCAGTTAATGAAGTTTGATTCGATACACTATCAACTTTTGTTGTTATCCCACATTATTAATTTTTTCCATACCGCACTTCGTAATATTACCATTCAATCTTTTTTTTTATCCCGCATTACTAATTTTGTCCATCCCGCTCATTATGTACCCAAATCGCATTAAGCCATCAGATCTATCTATTATGATTGCAATTTTCACAAGCTCCTAGATACACTTTTATTTTTACATTTTGTTTCAATACCTAAGAAGTTGGAGTCAACCAGACATTAATCTTTCTTTGTGATTGGCCAAACTAATTACTTAACGTTTTGAACATGTACTTAATGTTTTAAAATTCAGTACATGTTCAAACTTGTACTAAGAAGTTGTTGAAAGATTCAAACTTGAACATGTACTTAATGTTTTGCATCACCAAATAATATCTACCATTCTAATTACTGTTGTTTGGCATAATTATCACAAAAAAACAAATAATATGAAACAACATGCACTACTAAGTTGTACCGGAACATAAATAGGGACAGATTCGGGGACGAAAGCGAGATGGGAAACGGCAAAGGTTAAAAATATAAGAAAGCATGTACGGCAATATAGTATAAACAAAAATATCCATATAGAAAATAAGTATCATATAAATCAAAACATAAGAAGAAAAAATCTAGTTTAATATCTTAACTCAAAACAAATGTTAGATTTCTTTGTATAATGAACCAAAAAAAATGAGTTTATCATATTTTTTCCTTTCATTTATGTTTTTCTTTTGAAAAAATCGAGTTAAATATATTGGAGACATCTATTTTTAGTCTTAAAAAGTTTTCGAGACGTTCCTAAAATTGGTTGCGGTCCACGGTTAACACGAAACGCTCTGGAGAGAAGTCCCCAACCCGTTTCCGGAATGCCTACAATGCATTCATTTGGAGATTAAGGAAAGATATTAGCATTTGATTTTGTAAAAAGTGAAAACCAGATTTCCTTTGGATACTATCCTCCAGGCCTATAAAGACCCAAATTGTAGAACCAATATCCTTTCGAAACGGCGTCGTAACATACATCTTATACGAAGTCGAAAGCTTTGATCTTCTTCTTCAATCTCTCACTGTAGGGTTTTGTAGGGGTTCTCTCTCTCTGCAATCATGGAGTCTCTCGGAAAGCTACAGCTTCATCAGAAGCCAATTCAGGTCTCTCTCACTCACTTCTCTTCACCGTTCCCGAAAAATCCTTCGTCTTTCTCTCTCAGATCTCTACACCGATCAACTTCGTCCTTGAAATGTGTTTCTATCAGAGCTTCGTCGTCACCAAAGTCCCAAGACTCGAGACTCCCAGTTTTGCAATCATTACCTTCACGTCTCCTGAAATCGACCTGCATCACCTTCACCGCTGCAGCGGCGTTGTTCTTCGTGAATCTCCAGGTCAAAACTCCGACGGCGATTGCGGCTCCTGTCGCGGCTTCCCCGACGGTGGAATCTCTTAAACAGAGGAACGGAGACGTTTCGTTTGAAGAAGAAGAGCGATCGCTTGAACAGCATTTAGCTTCTAACCCTGAAGATGTGGATGCTCTAAGGTCGTTAATGGAGGTAAGGATCAAATCTCGTAAGCTTATAGAAGCTGTAGAAGTGATTGATCGTTTGATAGAATTGGAACCAGAGGAAAAAGAATGGCCGATTTTGAAAGCTAATATCTTTAGTCATAGTGGAGATTTAGAGTCTGCTAAAAGTGGGTTTGAAGAGATTCTAGCCAAAGATCCGCTTCGTGTCGAGGCTTATCATGGACTGGTTATGGCTTACTCTGAATCGGGCGATGATTTGAATGCGGTGGAGAAGAGAATTCAGGAGGCAATGGAGAAATGCAAGAAAGGGAAGAATCGTAAGGATTTGAGGGATTTCAAGCTGTTAGTGGCGCAGATTCGGGTAATTGAAGGGAAGCATAACGAAGCGTTGAAGCTTTATCAGGAGCTTGTGAAGGAAGAACCGAGAGATTTCAGGCCGTATCTCTGTCAAGGGATTATATACACGGTGCTTAAGAAGCAAGATGAGGCGGATAAACAGTTTGAGAAGTTCAGGAAACTTGTCCCAAAGAATCATCCTTACAGAGAGTATTTTATGGATAATATGGTTGCTACGAAGCTCTTTGCGGAGAAGGCGCAGCGAGAGATGGCTGGATCAAAGAGTTAAAATGAGTTTAAAAGTCTTTGTTACGAAAACGGTAATGAGGCTTGAATGCTTGGTAGGCTCGAATGTTGGTTTTGTGTTGCAGGCCTG